CCAAAAATTTACCAAGCCACGTGGCCTACACAGACAAGAATAATGGCCTAATAAAAGGTATCAGAATTAATAAGAAGCCTGAGCTAATAGACTAACCAGTTTATAATTAATGTAGGCCTCTGTGTATTTACTTGGGACTAAACAGATGTGGGACCTGGTGGGACAGAAACCTCAGTCAAGTCAACAGACATTTCAAGCTAGTACTTTTCACTGTAACTTTTATTCCTGCTGACGAGTTTTCATAATGCCAAGACGTGCTGTGCATGCTAACACAGGAAAGGAGAAAAGTAGTCATCAGTCTTGCCCAATTCTCAACACTACGAGCTGCTCTGGCGCCATAGTGGCATGGTTATTGTGGAACAACCAACCGTTTTCTGATTGAATTTACGTCCTGCTCAACAAGATGAAATCCATATCTGGCACCAGTGTCACACCAAGAACCTGTGTTTAGTCAGGTCATAGACAAAGAATAAGAGATCATGAGATACTTAGCTCTAATTGGGACATCTCATACCTCAATTCCTCCTCCCAAGGCTCTGGAATCATTTTTAAAGAGCGGGTAGATGGATAAAAAGAAATAGTGTCTTCCTGATACAGCAAGGTAGTTGCAAGTATAAGCCACAGCAATGTTAGCAGCACAAGCCCTGTGAAAGAGTTCTGTAATTGGCTACCCAGTACCAGGAGTCATCCCTGAAAACGTTATATACACACAACCCTGAGTGGACCCAGCAGGCTGTGTTTATATGTTTGGATATATAATATGCATTAATGTGTAACAAGAAAAATTAGAAAAAAGGAGGTCATGAATTTAAGAAGGAGTAATGAAGGGACACTCAGGAGGGATTGAAGGAAAGGAAGATTTTATGATTATGTTTTAATTCAAGAAATAAGAATTAAAAGTGAAAAGAGTGTTGCCCCTAGTAGGTTGACCCCTAGTAAGTTGACTACACTTCAGTGGAAGGTCACACATGCATGCATATATGAGAAGCACAAATTGGACCTGGTAGGTAAAGTACAAAGAGGATACAAATTTGCACGGGTAGGGAAAGAAGGATGGATCTGGGAGGAGTGGGTTGGGCAGTGAATATGATCAAAACACACTGCCCAAATTCTCAAAGAACTTACTTAAAAAAAGAAATACAAAGTTTCAAAGGCTCCTAAAGAATTTTTTTAACTGTTTCTGTAATTCCATGTGTCTTCAAGACACACATGTACACAAACCTCCAAAGCAAGCTTTCTGAACAAGATCAGTGTAGAAGTTAGGGAGGTTGATCATTAATAGTCATGTGTTATTCACTTCTATGACAGGAGCTGAGATATTCCACACTGATGATGGCTATGACTCCATCATGTATACCAAAATGGTGGGTTAGCTCTCCTCGACTTTGCCCAGTACTAAAGGCCAATGTATTTACAGTCTCTGGATACTTCCTGATGATGGTTGGATATGTCTTTATATCTATAACAACTCATATGTTATATGCTTTAAAGTAACCAAAGCAAGGAAGAGAACAAGCTAAAACATAGCAAATCCAGCATGTTAGCCATGGTGCCCTCAGAAAGTCCCCGTGGCTGAGACAGCAGCATTCTGTTGAATGAGCATGTTCAGAAGATACAAGAGTGAGACTTGTCACAAACGTGAACATTGAATAAATGGGACCTACTGAAACTGAGAAGCTTCTGTAAAGCAAAGGACACTGTCACTAAGACAAAAAAGGCAATCTACTGACTGGGAGAAGATCTTCACCAACCTCGCAACAGACAAAGGTCTGATCTCCAAAATATATAAAGAACTCAAGAAACTAGACTGTAAAATGTTAATTAACCCAATTAAAAAATGGGGCACTGAGCT